GTCTTTCAGGATGAAGAGCCTTTGCTTCCAGCTTTCCAAGAAATAAAGCAGTATAAATTCTGAGGCTAGAGAATTACTTTGCTTTAATAAACTGCAGAAAAGTAACCAGTTCAGATGAATATCAGCATTCATATGTGCACACTTCTGTTTTTACAGACTAGTTATCTTGTTGCTACGATAGGCAGGTTGCATTCAGCCAGATGGCAAAATCCGTGGAACAGTTAGGTATTAGTGAGGGGAGCAATGATAAAATGCTAATATTCATATCAGCACTACCCAGTGCCACTTTACAAACCAAACTGTGCTCTTTCTGTTCGCTCTGCTTTATACAACTGTAGCTATCGCTGGTTAGCTGAAATAGCTGTTCTTCAGAAATAAGGAGAGCAACTCCCTGTCCCCAAAAACATTTCATAACACCATAATATAAATAAGGGCTGGCATTACAGGTGAAAAATCAATTTTAGCAGTAGATGAGCCTAAAATCGTGACCACTTATCTATGGCAAAAGAGGAAAACAAAGATATTTAGCTTGGACAAACGGCTTCTTGTGTAGTTACATATTCTGCCTGACTATACTAAATCTCTCTCTGCAGTCAATGCAGCACAATATTACTTTTTTTTCTTCAAAACTTCTCCCATCTTTCCCTGTATTCTTTCTGTGTGAGAATTAAATTAATCCTAGAGGTAGCTGTTTTGCTGGTGACTGAGGTTCTCTAGCAGATCATCTTTACTGTTTCATAGGATATTAGTTGATTAATAACTAAAGAAAGGTTGTCCAGCCTCTGTTTGAGAGACAACCAAGATTTTTGTCTCTTATCACTTTTAAATATGTTAATGCCTAACAATTTATCAAAAAAAGGACTCTATTATGAAAAGTATTGTAAAAGCTCTGGCTGTTAGATGCATTCTGCAATGAATGGCTTACAGGTGGCTGAAGCCAGACTCTAAGCCACCTTAGACTTTGTCTGTGCACTGTTGAACTAGTGACATGACACATACAAACAATCTTCATTGCTGGGGGAGATGCTGATTTGCTTTCCTCAATGAGCCAGTAAACTCTACTTTCTGCCAGGCTTTGGCTGTAGGCTTTGCCCCTGCCTCTCACAGTTTTGGGAGGAGGAGGGGTTTGCACTTCTATGAAGTACCAAGTACTTCAGGTAAGCCCTTGAAGGCGACTCGGAACCTTTGAAAAAAGACTTTTTTTATACACACACACACATGCACACACACACTCTCTTATGTAAGAGAAACACTGTTATGACCCTTAGCTATAACCCTTGAACCAGAAATAGTATGACTCCATAATGAATGGCTCTTATTTCTGCAGACTTGTAGATGTTAATAGGTACTTTTTGCCTACCCTTCTAAGGTGTGGAGGAGATAGCTGTGAGAATATTGACACAGTTACTGGCTGGCAAAATGATCTGTGTAGCAGTTTATATTTAAACAGCAAAATTGGTAGCACACTGAACTTCTTAGATTTCTCAGGCGCATGAACTGGGAAACATTTGTAAATTGAGTACTATGACTAAATTAGAGAGCAATGCATCTTCAGTATTACAAACCTTGGCAGAGAAGATGGCAATTTTGCTTTTATCATAAATGAAGGCAGAATGTAATTATGAAATCTTATCACAATAGTAATTCAAGGAAAAAAAAATATGATTCATCAAAAATACAAATTAAATTCAGTAGACTGGATGGACACAAATATGTTACAGTAAAACATCAACAGCTGTAACATAATATTTCAAAACATGACCAGTAGCTGAACCTAATCAATCTAACTGGATGATACAAAAGTTAGGTAACATATAATGCATCAGATTTGAATTAAAATATAATTAGAAGGTTTTAATGCCTTTTATCCACTTATTGGCCACATTCTAAAGTGCATTACAGGGACTCAGCAGGGAACACTGTGAAACAAGGATAGATGAAAACAAATTGTGTCCTGTGTTTTGAACACTGGTTACACTGCCACTGAGGTCAATGTGCTGATATACACAAGCTGAAGTCCAAGCCTAGTATTTACAATGCAACGGGAGAAACATATATAGCCAGTGGAGTATTTTGCTTAATTTATATTGATATTTCTCTCATACTCTTATCTCATTCATATTATTACTTCATTAATACACGATCTCTTTCACTCGCGTCTGTGTCTTTATTTTCTTACTTTGTTTTCAGAGGCCTCCATCAGCCTCCTTCTGACCTTTGGGACTCTAGTGTTAAATATTCCACATTCCTCTGCACCAAATGTTCATCTGTTGCTTTTTCTGCTGAATTCATTATCTTGAGTGGGGAGGGGGGCGTCACAGTATGAAAACATAATGGACTTTGCTGCAGCAGGCTTTATGTATGTGCATAGTGTCTGAAAAGAGAAAACAAAGGAGTGCAGCTGCTGTTCCCTGCTAATCTCCTAGGGGAGTGCTAATAGTAACTGAAGGGGGCACTGGACTGTAGGTTTGTTCCCCAGGTTCGAAAGGAAGGGTGACAGGATTGTCTTGCGGAGAGCGTCTCTTCTGCTGGGCAGCTCCTCAGATCTCCAAAAATTCAAGCTAAGTCACGCTGCATGCTTTTCCCATACAACCTTTGTGCACCCCATTGGCATGGTTAGGACCACTTAGGGGGATGAGTCTTAGAGCTGGGTAGTCTGTCAGTAATTTTGTTCTCAGTGACATTTTGGTATAATTTATCTGTCATGGCAGACCTAAAAGAACTTATTTGTGTTTAATGATGCATCATTATGAGGACATAATGGAGACCTAATTAACTGAAATACCAGCTGATTATTTGTTTGGTGGTTTCTCATTCTCTTAAAGGAGATTTTTTTCTCCACAAAATTAGTATCTGTAGAAATGTTTTAATGAAGTATCAAGCATCTGAATGAAAAGCTATTTTTATTTTAATGTTGTCATCAAAACATTTTGTTATGGAGCTGCTGTGTGACACCCAAGGATGAAAAGTGTTCCATGTGGAGGAATATGGTGGCTAGCACTTCTTAGAGCGAGTCTGTGCATCTGTTTTCTTCTGTTAATGGGACAGTGAGACAAAGTGAGTGAAAGTGCGGCAATTTCAGACAAGTTTCTCTGCACTGTAGCAACTGAAATTGCCAAGGCTGAGGGAGCAAGGCCAGAGGTATGCCTGATATATTCAGGAGGAGAAAGAAGAAAATTGAAGAAACTACCAGTGAGGAAGTCAAAGAGAGCTAGTCTTGCTGTTTTGACCCCGACTCAAAGATGGTAGATTGCAAAGAGCACCGTCTCCCCATCTGCCAGTTAGTCATTGCTTCAATACTGCACTCTTCTCTCACAAGCAAGAAAGCAAGTTTGCTTTCTAGGACTCTGATGTTGATGAAAAGGTAATGTGGGTTCATGATACCAAGCTAAGTGAATGTTTTGGCTGTACCTATGCCTTCTTCTGACCAGGGTCTGAGCTGTTACGTTTGGGTGAGGGAAGGTGGGTCAAAGATTAGGAGAAAATATACTCCCTAAAAGTAAGATATAAGCATTCCACCTTCATATGCGCTATCTGCAGATAAGTCACATAGAGGCATTGTTTGGTTGAAGCCTGAAAACGCCCAAACATATTGTAAGGGATAATAGTAAGAATGAGTTCTTAGAGCTTATAGAATGCATTAGTTGGATCTTTGGTCTCATGCTCATGCAGTAGTAAATACATTTACATTTTTGTCCTTTTTCTGGATGCCCTGGGATGAAGCACAATGTTTTTCTTTGTCTCATTTCATCTCCCAAGCAGCTTAGGGCAGATTTTGTGGAAAGGTTGTAAAGGCCTGACTTACCTATATGTATTCATGTTGCATAGTATCTTAGCTTGAGATGTTCCAATAGAGTTGTATACAAAATTGGTTTCTATTCATGGTGAAGGAAGGAAAATTGGAATTAAACTTTAAAAGTAGAAATAGCAAATGTTACTTTAGAATTAAGAGTGGATTGTTGTCTGCTGTTAGAAAAAGGCAAAATAGCCTATAGTTAATGTTTTCATGTGTATTTTGTCTGCCATACAATATGTGGTTCATTCTGTCATTTTTCACTGGTAAATTGTTTCTGCTTTGTAGTTCATAAATTAGCAGGGAGACAAAGCTGTTAAAAATGAAGCTTGAAAACTTGACATCTCAGCATGCTCCAAGAAGAGCACTAAAATGTCAACTGATTTTTCTAGCTATTAATGCACAATTCCAGATTTCCATTAACACATTGAACTAGTTCTGCTATAGCAGATAAGATGATAAAAGTCCCCTTCAGAAGAAGAAAGGAGAAGTTCAGAGTAGTTCAGAGTTCCTTCCTAAATGGAAGGAACTAAATTAACTAGAATAAACAAATATTCACAGCTTTCTCCAAAAAGTTTACTGCTCTGCATCGGACATCTCATTCACACAGGGTGGGTCTTCATCCCAAATATTTCTCAGTTTCTTGCTGTTTTCTCCATTTTGTCTTGAGGTTATATTTTGTTGCATGAGCACTCAGCTTGTAAGGAAGAAACTTTATTTATTTTGCTGCAGATGTAGAGGGAAACAAATGGAACAGAAGCAACTTAGTGATTAGATTGTAACATTATTATAAAATAAATGTATCAGTGAACCTTTATATACAGAGTTACTTAATCCTCCACAAAAATCTGTAATAATAATGGTATCCTCGAAAGTTATTCAGATCAATTTGAAAATGCTATAAGGATCTTCACACATTTTTGAGGCTTTGTCTAATAGGCTTAATAAGTTAAAACCTTTGGGCACAGATTGGGCCTTTGCTTTTATATTCTGGACAGCTCCAAGGAGGCTTCCTGTTCCAAGTGCATAGTAGTGGCAAGCTATTATTGGGCTCCACAAAATGAAGGTATGTCTGGGGCTGTAACAGCACCTCTAGAGCTGCTGTATTGCCCTTGTGTACCACCAGTGCCTGTCCTCCCAGCTCCATACATTCCCTTACCTGCTTTCCCCAGCTTGATGTGGGCAATGAAGGTGACCCTAGACACTGATGCCGCTTCAGTATTGGACTGGTATACAGCAGAGCGTACAGCTTAGGGACGTAAGCCATCTAGCTGCTCACAAAAAGCACGTGCTGTTTGGTAATGTGTCTCCTAACAGCAGCTGACTGATCCATCAGCACATATCTGGAAGATAAATACGCTCTTGATGCTTAGACAGTTGGCCTGCAAGGACTTGTGTTTCCTGTTGGGTAGGTCATTGGAGTCAATTTTTGAGACAGTCACCAGCAGGGGGAACTGGAAAGCAGAGAACGTGCATGGGAACAGGGCACAGGGTCACTTCAGACGCATGAGAAACATTGGGAGAGGAGGAGACGAGGGAAGGAATAGATGGGGAAACTAGCTACTTTATCGTGAAAGGGAGTCAGTGTACGAATTGACATCTGTAGTGACCAATCAACTCATTTGATTTGGGTATTCCTGCATGAGTGAAATCATGGTAGAGATATTTTATTACCTGAATTTGCTCATAATTTGCTTGTTAAGTTTGATGGGAAGTGTGTGCACAAAATGAAAGAAGTCATAAAAGATTCATAAGAATCCACTGGAAAATGAAAAAAGAATACAACAATGGGCAGGGGAATCTTCATAAATCTACATACTGATCCTGAATTAAAGCTCTGAATCTAACCTTTAATTATATGAACTAGTGCGTTAGAACTAGTGATTCGTCTTTTATTATAAATGTTTGTCTCACGTAATTCAGTACTGGCCTTTGGCTGTTAGCCAATGTACACATATGTATATAAGTGTGCAATAAGTCATAGTCACTCACCAAACAATGAGGGTGAAAATGTTGAACGGCTTCTCTTTCACTGTGCACTCTGTATCCTGTGAATGAGACTTAGCGTTCTAGGGAGAGAAAAAGGTTGTGATCAGGTTAGTAGGATTCAATTGTGGCATACATACATTTATATATTTTGTACACACACACACACAGGATGAATTGTGGTTGCAGATTTAGCTTTCATTCTCACATTTAGCTTTTGAGTGTTTAAATCTGTTACTCTGATGCTAGTTTTTTGTTAAAGAAGTCTTAACAAATACATTATCTTACATGCATCTGTAATGATGGAGAGTCTGACTCTTGATCCTTCAGCACCGTAGTCCAGCTGGGACTGTGGATCTTAACTACATTCACTGATAACAAGGCCCTTAATCTAGAAGAAAAAAGGGAAATGGGAGGAAGGGAATCAGGATATGCACAGAATTGTCAGGACGTTGTCAGAGAAAGTCCAAATAGGTGCTTTCTTCCTGATCTCTCTCACAGTCTGGCTTTTTTGGCAGGTCTCTGGTAAAAGCTTGTCCTTACATTAAGTTGTTCTTATTCCTATAGTATTTAGTCAGGTTATTTACTGATTTAAAAAAAAAAAAAAAAGACTTCTCAGAAGTTTGTTCGCCAAGTCTACATAAGAATGAGACAGAAAGACATTCCTCTTACTGAGGGTCTTTTCTCTCAGATGAATTTTGGTAGGATGTTATAAAGAAAAGGTTTCAGTGATAGGTTAAAAGAATCATAGGAAATGCTAGAAAAACTAAATATAGGGTGTTTATCCCTACGGCCCCTGATTTAGATAACTTAGATTTCCAGAATGAAAAAGATTCCAGCAATTTGAGTTACCTATAGATTTAGCTAGAAGGCATTAGATGATCATGTTTTTATGTTCCTTTGTTAATGCAACTTTGCAGTCCCAATTCTTCTCTGTAAATTCTTGAAGTTATACTCGGTGCACCTGTAAATAGAGACAAAACTTCCATCAACTACTGTGCAGTATGCAACCTGCTACAGAAGAAGCATGTGCTACTTGGTTGCTAAATATGAACGTGAAGTAGCACTAAAGCAAGAAGAATGATTGTATCTTCTAGGCTTTATTTTCACTACTGTTTATTTTTTTTGTGTATAGACAAACACTGGCAAATGTAGAACTAAAGTTATAGGGTATTGTTTCTGTTTCCCAGTGACAATGTGTTTTTTATACATAGATATATTTTTAATGGTAAGATAGGATAAAACCTGTTCAAAGGTAAAGCCAAAGAGTTATTTACTTGATAGGGATGTATTTGGTTTTGCTTGAGGATGGGTGTAAAAGCTTAAGGATGGGAGCACAAATAGTATGATACAGTAAAATATCATCCTTTTGAAATTTCAGATTTACAGGCAGTAAAATGATAGAATTTGTTGGCTTCTAAATGGTCTAGATAGTGTCTGGTAGTTGTTGTTACTTAAGTATTCTTCAGTAGTTCTTACTTAGCAAAATAAACGGACAAACTTTTCTTCTCCAATGCTAAAATCACATGCTGAAAAAAAATGATCTTTTAAAAAGGGTGGTTAGCTTATTTCCTTACATATTTTCAGAAGTCTTCCCCTGCCCTCTCCCCCTTATGGAGTTCAGTAGATAAGTGAATTCACTTAGCTATGCATGTGATGTGAACACAGCCTCTCAATGTCAGATAACAGACTGAAGAAACTGTTGACTTCTCCATGCCACTAAAAATGGAGAATTTGAAATACTTTGTTCTGATCACTCAAATAGTTTTACTATTATCTAGCAGAAGTGGAGGTGGTCCACTAGTATGAAATGTTTGGAGGGTATTTTCCAAACTAAATCCTAGCTTTAACAGAGGGACCCAATGGTATAGTCGTTAAGTAGAGATAATTTTTCTGGAAGTTAGTGGGAGTCTTCAGTGTTTTGGAGAGTTTTACAGGCCTTGGGAAGAAAGCCCTCAATTCCTGTGAACTGTGTGATATTTGCAAACTTTAGCAAATTCAAGCTAAGGTTTTCAGCAGGGTTAACGCTATCACTATCAGCCCTTTCAATGAGGGGCAAAAAACCCCCCAAACCAAACAAAAACAGAAACCAAAAAATGTCCTTCTACAGCACTTATATTCATGCTGTGCTATATTTTTCAGTTGCGACATTTATTGCCATACTCTAAACACTCTTGTGTTTGTGTTTTTCAGGTCAGAAGGTATGTTATGGTGACTTCAAGCATGCGTGCTACAAGATAGCATATTTCCAGGACTTGTCTAGACGTGTGGGCTTTGAGGAGGCCCGCCAAGCTTGTGAAATGGATGGTGGGGCTTTGCTGAGCTTGGAAAGTGAAGCTGAACAGCAGCTAATAGAAAACATGTTACAAAACCTCACTAAATCAGGCTCTGGGATTTCTGATGGTGATTTCTGGATTGGGCTGTGGAGAAATGGCGATGGACTAGCCACAACTGCTTGTCCTGACCTCTACAAATGGGCTGATGGAAGCATTTCACCATTTAGGTGAGTCTGTGAAATCACTCACTGAGAAATAAAACGCAATGGTTAGCAAGTTAAATTTTTTATAAACAAGAAAGAAGACATGCTGCCCCATGAAATTAATATCATGACTTCCTAAATTCTTCAGGTAAAAGGAAGCTGACAGCCAAGGTTTTGTATCTGAAGCTATAGAAAGATGACATGATGTGGCTTCACTCCACAATTATCCTTACTCTTACCTCATCAGTTTGCCTTTAAACGGCTTTCAGAGATTTTCTGCCCCACACGGAGGATTTAGGATGTGGTCTGGAAGCAGGCAGACAAATTCTGCAAGACTGGCCACCTCAAATCAGAAGGCCAGCAAGGAAATTAATGCATGTTACTTAATGTAAATGCTTCTGTTCCTACCTCATCTTTTGAAAAGCCTTTAATTAAGCCAAAGGCCAGAATAGTAGCAGCTTACAGGACTCAAAGAATGAAAGGACAGGTAAGGGTCAGATAAGAAAGAAAACAGATAACGAAATGGCAGAGAGTCACTTCTGCAGAGGTGCTTTGGCTGTTGAGAATCTTTTTAAGAACTAGAGATTTGAAGCCTACGTCCTAAAATCTTTCCCAGAGAAGCTGTGGGAAATGCAGCTTACCTTAAAACAGAATGAGGTCACTGGGGTTGACATTTCTTCATGCACGTAAATTGCTTCCCTAGATGTGTTGATGAATCTTTAATCTTCAATATTTGAATATTCTTATGTGTGCGGTTAGAAATTGGTATACAGATGAGCCTTCCTGTGGAAGTGAAGCCTGTGTTGTGATGTATCATCAGCCAACTGCAAACCCTGGTCTGGGAGGGCCATATCTTTATCAATGGAATGATGATAGATGTAACATGAAGCACAATTTTATCTGCAAGTATGGCCCAGGTAGGTGGAACTGAAGTCATATTTCATATGTGGGAAATGTTAGAAAAACAGTGCCTTTTGTTTTGTGAAGGAACCTGCAGGTTATCTTGTGGCGACACCATCAGACCTGCATGTTATAGTGATTCATTTAGTGTGTGAGCAACTAAACATTAAGAGGGGGTGTAGTACATGTACTCTAGTGAAAGTTGTACATACTTATCTGTATGCAGTATTTTTCTCCATTAAAATGAGGCCTTATAATAAATACTCTTTTCAAAATTAGTTTACCTGTTATATATTCCTGGTTTAATTTTGATTTAACTCGTTCCCTAGTTACTCTAACCTCCACAAAGCATTATAAGTGGCCATTTCCTAATTCCCCTGCTCCTTATCAAGCAAGATGACGAAAGCATCTCTTGGTCATACTGCAAAAAGTGTTCTGTCCTTGCAATTGCACATCTCTGACAATTTATATGAACTTATGTGTAACAGTTACTTCTATAAGTTTTGGCTTAAAGAGAGCAATAGAGGTCTGGAACAGCACGAAGAAAATTCTGCATTTGTACACGTAGATATCTACATATGAGCAGCAGATGTATACTAGCTCAGATGGTGACAGAAAAATCCAGATCTTATGCAATTTGGCCGTACTTCCAGACATGACATAGATTCTGCATATGCCAGTATAGGAAACTTGACTATAAACTAGAATTTTGTGCAAACAGAAAAAGGACATGAAAAGCAAACTTCAAGTTGAGTCTGTAACAGTTTCTACTTTTGGTGGTATCAGCAGATGTATACTAGCTCAGATGGTGACAGAAAAATCCAGATCTTATGCAATTTGGCCGTACTTCCAGACATGACATAGATTCTGCATATGCCAGTATAGGAAACTTGACTATAAACTAGAATTTTGTGCAAACAGAAAAAGGACATGAAAAGCAAACTTCAAGTTGAGTCTGTAACAGTTTCTACTTTTGGTGGTATTTACAGACAATGAAAAACATGTTTTTC